TCTTGTGATTTACTGGTTATTGGCATATAGCTTCATCAAATGAACAGTGTGATAGAATGATAATCTTCAAGATGCAGGAGAAATATTAAGTACTCTAGGCTGACTTTCTCTTAGGTTGATTTCAGATGGCTTCATAGGATTCTGTTAGTGCTTTGTAAGGCGGTAAATCTGGACACCAGTAACTGTCACTTTGCTAAAAGCTGTAAACGAGGGCTTCTGCAGTGCAAACTAACAGAATGCCTTATTATTTATTGCACTGATCTGATCGGGAGGAAAGTACCCAACAAAACACTGACTGTTGGGAAGCTTTTCTTTCAGTTGCTGCCGTATAAGTGCTGAAGTCTCTTGAGAGAACCACATCAAAAAGAGTGCAACAGCTAACGGTGTGTCTAGTTAATGATCTCACTTAAAAGGTGGGAAATTTTACAAAAGTCTGAGTATCACACATGGCTTGAAATAAACAATTGGGGAGTAATATCAAAGTAGAGCACTTCCAAAAACCAGGAGCCACCTTTCATATTCCTGTTTGCTTTTTTAGTGTGGTTTCATTTATTAAAGTATGTTTGCAATGCTGTAGGTAAGGGTTTGTGAGAACTTCAATTAATCTTTTATTGGTTATGTACTATAGTTAAGTGCTATGAGTTTTTAAAGTAGTCTCAAGCTATGATAGAATTTGTCAGAATATTTGGTTTGGCTATTTAACATATGTCTTTGACGATCAGTAGAGCTGATAGACACTTCCGATAATAAGACCTTGTTTTCAGTTGCTTGTAACTTTACCAAAGTTTGGCAAATTCAGGCTGAAATCTTTCATACTGTGTGCCTCCCTTGAGTAAATCTTTGGACAATTTTGGCCAAAAAGTTTTATTCAATTGCCTATGCTAAAAAAATGTTGCAGCCTTTTCTTTGAAATGCTCTAGCTTTGGAGCAGGGATTTGAAATTTGCCAGGGGGATAGCTTTTGTGTCAGGAATGTACCTTTTGCTGTCTTCGTAAAAATCCACTCAAATTTGACCTTTGAAAATTGCCGTTCGCACGTTCTCAGTAGAGACATCCTAGAGCTTAACAGCTAAAATCTTCAAAGGTTATCCTCACTGAGCATACTCCAGCCTCTCTCAGCTTCTGGTGTTGACAAGACTCCACCTGCCTTCCCCACATGGCCACTCCAGCACATGGCTATGGGGGCCCAGAAGAACTTCACCTGTAATGGTTACTCCCAGCAGCTTTGGGCCAGGCAGCAGAATTGAGAGTATAGAACCGTAACATTCTCCCCTCTGCTTCCGCTGACTCTCCCACTGTTGGCACCAAGGCAGCATGGAGGAGAAAGCCATTAGATTAGAATGCAGAGGGAACAAAAGCTGAATGAGGGTGAGAGAGAGAAGTAGATTGGGACAGTGTCTGGTGAGACTGGAATTTGGAGGCGGGAGGAGAAACTGGGAATTGGAGGAGGGAGAGTGGGTCCAGTTGGGCAAGGGACCCTGTGGAAAATATAGTATAGGATCATGTTATTAAAGACTGTCATGCATGTGCACAAGGGGGCTGAATTAAGGTTGCAAAGACGGTCTTAATTCTGGCATTTCCTAATGTTTGAGTTTGCAACCTTAATGCTCTTTTAATGCTGTTTTTTGTGTATAATAGTAAATCACAGTTTGGGGGAGGATCATGAATAGTTGATAATATGGACTAATTTTGTGTGTGTTTATATTTTTGGTATCTGATATTTATAGACTCTATTCTTGGTGAAGTTGGAATAGTTCAGATGTTTGCCACCCATGATTTCTGAATTATCACTAAAACTAAGCTACAACTGGTTAGTCAACATTTTATAAACTTTTAAATACGAATATAAGTGTTCGCTGCTTTACATATTAAAATACATTCCCCCTGTTCCAGGCAATTTTCTGGGTACATCTACCATTTTATGAAGGTCTCAGTCACTATGTATGGATTGAGCAGTGGTAAATTTTAGAGTGTTTGTAAAATGTTTTGAGGAGCGATTTGAAGGCAAGGAGGCTGCTTGGCTAACAAGAAGGGCATACTTTCCCAAGCATAAGAGTCACTGTAGTAAAAGTTGCAAACACAAGTAGAGAAATAGTAATGCCATGTATTGGGCTCAGCTCCACAAACCTGTATTGGTTTGATATGCACTTGAATCCAGCCCATGTTTTCTTATGGCTTAAATAATAAAATACCAGTTTAATTTTTATTAAGCTCTTAATTTACAGGAGCACTGTAAAGCTCATGTCCCTAAAATATTTTTATCTGGTCACATGATTTAAACGTTTCCTTGAAATGCTGTTGTACTCTGAAATATTATTTTTAAGTGGGTATTGAATGGGTTTCTTTTTATCTATGATTTCCATCTATCTGCGAATAAGTAGATGTTATTGGCTGGTCCTTCAAACCCTCCTTGTTATCTGAAAATCAAGTTCATCCATTAGCCATAACTTGGCTTAACTAATGCATTAAAAGTGTAATTAAGGTGCAGTTAGGGGGTCCATCTCTGTATACCTGCATGAAGTTTCTCTGTTTGGAATCTAGTTAAAAATTATGCTGGTGTGTGGGCCAGTAGAAAAACCATCTCACTTTCCTTCAGCTGTATTGGCTCTTTATTACTTTCTGTATGACTAATGCACTGATTTTGTCACTAAAGTGAGCATATGTGACTCCAGTACATACAAGCAGCAACTCTGACTATGAAGATACCTTTTGTAGTCAAATTAGACTATAATCATATTTGAAAGTCTCAAGAAGTTTTATATTTTAAATTGCATCATCAAATTAAATACTAACAGTTACTGTGATTCCTGCTGCAAATGGCAGCATGGAATCTGGTATCTTTGTCGAAATCCTGCATGTGCTTAGTAGATTTGTTTATAATAGGTTACACTAAACTTGCTGTCTGTTTAAAAATGTCACCAGCTGTGTGTATGTGTAAAAAATAAATATATAAATGTGGCAGGTATTAATTAAAAACACAATTGTTGAAATCTTTAATATACAGTAAGTGCTACAGATTTCAATAATGAGCCCGATAAAGGGGTATTGTGTCTGCAGAACAAATGAGTGGCCAGAAAATGTACCCTGACTGGGTACTTATTGGGGTCCAGGAAGTGGGCGGGCGTAAGGGAGACAGGAAGCTACGACTTGCACAACATGAGAGTTAATACAATACCAAAATGCCTTTTCCTTTGAAGAACTGTCTTTGGAAATAGACTTCGTGGTATCTTGCCGGCTGTCTCTAGTATTTTGAATGCGAGTATATAAACTGTAGTGTAGTATTCCTCTTCTGTTTCCCTTCTCACTTCTCTTTGCTGTATTCTTCCTTAAGTCTTCCCTATTTAGTTAACCAGTGCTGGTCTTTGAAGACGACAGTACAGATAAGTTCAATGGAGCAAAGCTGCAGTTAGAAACTGTTATATGAGACACAGCTCTGTTGGTAAAAGGGTATAGAAGCTGTCTCCCTCTTTTCCCGCTTCTCCCCACCTCCTTTATCTTTCTCGTTCAGCTCTTGTCACAGTTTGCAAATTGGAATTTATTGAAACATTGGCATTGCGTAGTTTATAGTCTGTGATGTATGTTGGACATAGTGGAGCGAAGTGGCAGTGCACCAAAGTGTAGGGAGGGGTTTTCAGACAAGAGGAACTTGATTGTGGTATGCAAGAAGAATCATTAGTAATGGGACACTAAAAAGGTCTTGTTACAGTGCAAGGGCGTGCACATTTCTAGTGGTTTTTGTTTGTTTTTTAAGATTTGAGTCTGTTACAAAACGCTCAAAATGGAGAGAATTGCAGATTGGATAACATTTTACTTTTATTTCTTGGCCTTGGAAAAAGTATTGTTTTGGGAAATTTAACTGCTGTTACTAATTTTGCTTAAAAAGGGAAACAAAGTGTTGCAGTCATTTTATGGAAATACTTTGGGTTAACATTATGCATTCAGGAAGGGTTATATAAGTAAACTTTTCTGTTTGGGAACAAAAAAATGCAAATTAAGTATTTTCTCCCACTGTCTATTGTAATTTAAGAATGAGAACACTTAGTATGCTATAGCTAACAAAAATCCTGATTCTTAGCAGAGTAAGAAGCAGCTGCAAGGCCATTGAGAAGATAAGTTGGTTTTAGTTTTTTGACGTTTTTGGTTTTTTTTGTAACATTTGATGCCAGCTCTAGTCAGATGGATTGCAAAAGAGGGAAGTCCCTGGACTCCTTATGTACCTACCTGAATCTATTACAGTTTATGTGAGGGATTAAAATAATGTGGAAATTCCATGGTGGCGGCTTTCTTACAATATTCAGTGGCTGTATTAGGTTATTGTATTTTTTATTTATTAATCTTAACTGCTATTAAAGTCAGAATAAACCATAATCCTACTCAATTTTTGTTACTTGTAATCTTGGCTTTGGGTGGGATTAAAATGTAGGGATTTAAAAACATTTAAGAATTTTTAAAAGGCCAACATTCTTGGGTATTTTTAATACTGAAGCATCCTGGAGAAGACAGTAACCAACTCCTTTTTGCAGATTGATGTATAGATTAACAAATTTTTGGATGAATTAAAACAGTCAAAATTGTATGGTTTCCAGGAGTGACCATAACCACCAGTTGTAAGGTTAAGCGTGTACATTTTCCATAGTTCCAGCTTGTGTGCTTGAAGGTAAGCTGCTTCTGATGTGGTTGTAGCACAGTGGGGCATCAGTCCTGTTCGAGGCTTTGGGGTACTATCGCAATACAAATAAATGATTTGTAAGCAACTATATTGCTGGTGGTATTGCATATCCTTCAGCATTTCATTATTCAGTATTTTGTCTGAATTTCTTGAACTACTTTATGGAATATCAGTCAGGTGCAGATCAATTAATTTTCTCTAAATTAGCATACTGAAAACTGCTTGAAGAAAGTGTGTGAAAGATATGAAGGCAGTTGTTTGCAGTGATACAATCTTTCATGACTATTGAATTGTAGATATTTCTGTTCTCTTACAACTGTGCCTTTTTTTAGGGAGGTGGTGGACTCCATGGTGCAGCATTTTAAAGTGACAATATTTGGGGACCGTAGACCAGTTTATGATGGGAAGAGAAGCCTTTATACAGCCAATCCACTCCCTGTAGCAACCACTGGGGTAAGACATATTGGTACTTTTCCGTTGTTACACACCGCTTGTCAGAAAAGAATATCTTTCTAAAAATGTTAGCTTCAGAAATATTGAAAATACCTTAGTGCAGTGGTCTCCAAAGTGGGGTGCGCAGCAGGAGGAGCCCCCCTCTTTTTTTTTTTTTTTGCTTCGTCCGTTCGGGCAGGAGTCCGAGCGGCTTCCCCCCCGCCCCCCCACTTCGGCAAAGAATGGTAGAGCCGGCGCGGCAGGGGGTGCGTGCTCAAAATTTTTTTACTGATGGTGCGCGATCAAAAAAGTTTGGAGACCACTGCCCTAGTGTATCTGAAATGCAATAAGAACCGCCCTAATATACACCTTGATGATCCATAAACCCCATAATATTCAGAAAATAATACTTTACCATCTTCTCAGTAAATATTTAATAGTATTCAATATTTTTCTATACTGAGATCTCATATTAAATACTCAGTTTTACAACATATACTATATAGTATAGTAGTTCTCAAACTTTAGCAACCCAAGGACCCCCATTTGGATTCAAAATATTTCTTGGACCCTCAAGCCCCCTGTTCAGCCCCAGGCCCCACCCCCACTCCACCCCTTCCTCCAAGACCCACCCCTGTGCCATCTCTTCCCGCCCCCACTCCACCCCTCCTCCTCCTCTTCCCCGCCAATATACCCAGATGTACAGACACTCTTTTCCCAACCTATGTATTATATACTTTTTTTAACATTAGCTTTAATAAAATTTTTAAATTTATTAGTAGCCATATTATTAAACAGTCACAAATAGGCTTTCAAGTTAAAATTTTCTTAAGATAATGAGTTCGCACTTTGTGGCTAGACTGCTAATACATGAACATATGCATCACATAATTAAGGCGACGTATGCAGCTTGTTGCATCCAGTTTCCTGGGTTTATCCTCTCTCAGCCCAATCCAAAACCTTGGCTTCTAATCATTTTTGAATCTGTGTTTAATCAGTGTGTTTCACCAGACATGATCACAAACCATGTTCAGAAATAGTGATATAGGCTGCCAGGGGCAAAGAGGAACAAGGGTAGTCTACAGTATGTTCATGGCTGCAGTAGCATAGACGTTTAAAATAAAAACATTTCTCTTCTCTTTCCCCTCCCTTCTGCGGTGCAGGGAAATAATGCTGCAGAGTGTGATAGCTATGCTGGCAGACTGAGAGCCATTCTTTTTGAGTAGTTGCTTACATAGCTCAAAACATTAAGTGTTGACAGGATCTTGATCTCTGCTGTTAGTTATTTTATAGGCTAAATCCAAGAGCTGCTGCAAAATGTCATCACTTTAAACTTCCTTCCACGCACTTCATATGATTCTTTCTCCTTATCTCAGATCTCCCCTTCTACTTTCCCATATCTGCCAAATAAAAGCAAAAGTGTTCCTTCTCCCCAGTTTTGACTTCAGATTGTGGGTAGGTAGGACAAACATAAGCTAACAGTCTGAAAGAGAAAACAGCACCATTTGTAGTCAAGACCTCTATTTGTATCTCATTTGTCTTTTAAATAACTCTTGTGTTCTGCTCCCCCATTCCCTTCAACAGGTAGATTTGGATGTAACATTACCAGGAGAAGGTGGAAAAGATCGTCCCTTCAAGGTGTCAATAAAGTTTGTTTCTCGGGTGAGCTGGCACTTGCTGCATGAAGTTTTGACAGGAAGAACCTTGCCTGAGCCTCTGGAACTAGACAAACCAATCAGCACTAACCCTGTTCATGCTGTCGATGTGGTGCTACGACACCTACCCTCCATGAAGTAGGTTCTCTAATCTTCGTTCCCTCTCTCCCGTTAGCTTTTTTAAAACTTTGGGGTGAAGTCCTTTCATATTTCTGCACAAACATAGCAGGAGGAAATCGATTAAGCCATTCCCTACTCACAATACATCTTACTGATGGGCCTGGGGAGATTCCTGGTCTGAGTCAATTGAAGCTAATATTATCTGAGTGTGAATATTTGTGCAGGGAGGTCAGACCCAGAACAGGTAATATCAAAGACTTTCCACAGTGGATTATTCAAGATAGTTTCTTCCCCCAAAAAACTGTTAAGGACTTGTTCTGGATCTTCAAGTCAAGTTTAAGAAATCTGAAACAAAGTAATAAGGGTTACAATATACTGTAGCACTGCATCTTCTGTGTACTCCAGTTTAGCAGTGGCTCCACATAACTTGTGATGTGCCTTATCTGAAAGCATGTGCCTTTTTAATTCATTGACATTTCACAAAGCTGCAACTTCATGTTTTGGATAAACAGTTGAGATTCGGTTTTTTTTTTTTTTTTACCAGTATCTGTTTTCCTCACCTCAGAATTCTGAAATTTCAAAGGAGGCCAGTGTAATTTTGATATACATTTTGTTTTATTCGTGTACTGGAGGTTACTTTTATCTTTTAAAGTTTGAGTCCTGGTTTGAGGCACAAGGGCAGTTTTCTCTTATACAGGGTGAAATGAAATACATTGGTGAAATGTATCTGTAACTTGCCAAAATGATCTTGTGGCTTTATGGAACTAAAATCCTTCAACTGTCCCAAATTCTAAAGAAACATAAAAGCTAATGGCCTTTATGCTAATGTCATCCACCCCAAGTAGTTGTATTCTGGGAGGTCGTTGCACAACTATTAAATGCCGACATAACTTTCCAAGTTCTTTGCTTACACCAAGCTTTGGGCAGTAGAAAGTGAATCAGTGAGCTGGACTAAAAGCACATGGATTTTGTAAAACATACCCACTTTCATGCTAGTGCAAAAGGATATCTTAAAGACTGGAGCCAATATACACCAGACACTATTCTGTGGAAGCACCCTGCTAGTCAGCATTTGTGCTGCAGTCAAGATCGTGCTTTACTGAAATTAAATCATCCTTTCAGATCTTTAACATTTAGTTTTTAATTTGCTCTAAATATCAAAAATAGATGTCACTTTCAAAAATTGTAATGCTTGCTTTGGCTAACATTAAAAATACCATCTTAGAAACAGCAACATACAGAATAATCATAATAATAATTCAAAATCCTAGCTATATCTTGCCATATTTTGCAAAATGTGACTTTTTGGTACTGATCTACATCAATATCCATACAATAATTTATGAAGTGGAATAATAATCCTTGTTACATAAGGCTTTTTAAATACTCTTATAGAAGGCAGTAGCATATACAGATGGGTACTCTTTTTTTTTTTTTTTTTCTTTAACAGGTATACCCCTGTGGGCCGCTCCTTTTTCTCAGCTCCAGAGGGCTATGATCACCCTTTGGGAGGGGGCAGGGAAGTATGGTTTGGATTCCATCAGTCTGTTCGGCCTGCCATGTGGAAAATGATGCTTAATATTGATGGTAAGTAAAGTATTTGTGTATAACAGAGGTATGGAATGGAGAAGGTTACCTTTTAAGAATAAAAATGTCTGTGCTGTTCAACTAGTTGACTTGTGCGTATCTGAGTTTCACTATAGAATAGTACATTTTGTTTGTGGGAATAGTTTTCAAAACTTGCGGAACAAAAGGATTTAATTGTGGGAAACTATCAGCTCCAAAATTTAACTTTTCTCTCTTGGCTATAAATTAAGAAATTAAGCTTAAAGTAAATAGCTAATTTCAAGTATTCTTGCATATACTCTAGAAAAATACAAAAATTAATCTCTTGTCTATTTAGTTGCTTTATTTAAATTTAGAGTTGCTACAAGATACATAACCAGATTTGGCTGTCACCTGAAAAGCTATTTCTAAAAGTAAATGGCTCAGTTTGAAGATTCTGCAGCCTTTTATTGTAAAATCATTACATAGAGCACAAATTATTTAATTGATTGAAGACTATATTTTCAATATTGTGACTTTTCTATAAGACTTCCTTTATAGTTATGTGTTTATAATTATAAATATAAAAAATTACTACCAGGCTTAGTTCCTTTGCAATGGGCTTAATTCAGTCTTTTGGCTTTTCTTGCAAAGGTGATTTAGAAGTCCTAGTATTTGTATATCTGGATTTGCTATCAAAGTGTAAACACTTGGCCAAAAGCTAATTGTCCTAATTGAGAAACAAAAAGTGTGTTTGTTAAGATATATGACATGCTCCCTCTACATAAGGGAGACTATCACCAGTACACGGGCAATGAGTTTGTGGGAAAGAATTGTCAGTACCTAGACAAAACGCTTAAAGTGTGTTACCTTATAAACTTCAGTACAAATACATGATTCAATAGTTGGTGTCAGGTTTGGTGTATTCTATCTAGTTAGATGAAGAGATCACAGTTGTTTGTTTATATTGAACTAGTTGAGATTGGCAGTTCTGCAGCACAGACTAAAGACCTAACAGAAGGCTTCTGAGAACAGTTGTTGCACTTGTCAGACAGAATATTCTACAGACTACAAGGATGTAAGCATTCATCTCAGGCACATGAATTTAAGGCATTTTAATGGAATATGCTCTTTCTTTTTTGAAGGGATCTGGCTGAAAATGGCTTGTGCTGCTTAATCTGCTTGAAATATTCTGCCAACCTCTTGTGGCCATTGATCAGCATCTCTTACAAACATTTTAATGTCTTCTTCCATGCTGAAGACTTGCCTTGATAATGTCCCCCACACATTCTGAATTCCAGGTTTGACTATTGTAACTTATTTTATATAGGGATGAAGCCACAGGCCTGAAAATGCTCTAAATAGTATAAAATTCAGCATCCCATCTACTAAGCAACCGATGTCTCTGTACGCATTGCCCTGTCCTCTGTACTGCGGATCCCCACTAGTTAGTACAGTTCAGGGTCTGTCTCCTGATATTTAAAGCCTTCTGGGACTCTTAGCTCTCATGACAGCTACATTCCATTGGAACTATGAAATTGTTGACCAACAAGAACAGATTCAGGAGTGCGGGAGACAAAACTGTAATAGGAGCTGGACTGAGATCGTAGAACTGTTTATCTTGGGTAGTACTCTGTACTCCAAGACTAGTGCTGTTAGTTTTCTAATAGTTTTAAGTTTTTCACTTCTTAATAGCCACACATAATGTAAACCTTTGACTCCGTTAGCTAGATGCTGCAGTAATTTAAAACAGCAGCTTTATTTCTTACACTTTAATTATGATGATATTGCTTTCATCATGGCAATAATAATATGATAATGATCATGTCCAATAGGCTATATCAAAAGATTGCAACTAAGTTAAATTAATTTTCCCAACTATGCAAACACAAATTAAAAATCGGAGAAGCGGGGAAAAGGAAAGATACTCTATTACAGCCAGATGTGGATTGTTGGAGTTATGAGCTGAGACTGAAGCTGGTACCATTTTTTGGGTAGTCAGGAATACCACAGGTGTTCCATTGGGTTGGAGGCCAGGTCACTTTGATAGATGGTATTTTTTTCTTTCCCATTAGCAAGATTAGCAAAGGATGCAATAAATGAGCAGGCAGATACCATATTTAGGGTAGCTAGGGTGCAGTGTTAAAATCTAAGAGACCCTGAGGCAAGGTAGACTTGAAATCCACTAGATGTGCAATTTAGAGCAGAAAATAGCAAAAGAGGGGCAGACACCAAGAAACAAGTTGACAAAAGCCACATCCTTGTGGAATGCCTTTGAGTTTTATATATTTTTTTCAACGTATTATGACATTGGAGCAAGTTGTCCCCTATTTCATACTTTTGTAACCATTATGTACCTCTCATGTGCTTCAGAGACAGAAATGAAATACATCATCGTTGCAGCTGAGGATACATTGGTACACCTTGTTTCTGCAGGTTTAGGGAACATGTGACAACTTTCATATCTAGCCATGCTTACTGCACAATTATTTTCTCATGGACAGTAAAAGTAAACAAGACAAACGATCCATTTCTGTAATTTCCATTTAATTCAGAATTTTGCATTTTGTAAGGAGTGTAGGATCAAAAATATCGTACCAATCAGCAAATCATACCCAGGTTTTTCAGTTAAATGGCCCACTTGTAACACAAGGATATTTCTGACTGTAAAGGTCATGTAATAATTGGTCCAAGATAGTGGTTTTCAACCTTATTTCAATTGTGGACCCCTACAAAATTTCAAATGGAATGGCGGACCTCTTTGGAAATCTTAGACATAGTTTGAAAACCCCCTGGGGTCCACAGACCACAGGTTGAAAACCACTGGTCCAAGCAAAGTTATTGCATTGTTCACATTAGCTGAGATCTTTCTGAATTTCTAGCTATTTAGTAACTAAGACTTATTACCGAAAATGCCAGTATTTCAAAAGAGAAATGCAATGACTCAATGTTTTGCGTCTAAAGCACATCATAATCCTCTCCTACAATTGTTGATATATAGGAGCAGCTGATATTCTTTAATAGCTTGACAAACAGTATTTGGCTTGGTATTTGCAGTGTCTGCAATGGGGAGGAGAATTCTGAGGTTTCATAGTAGAAATACCGAAGTCTCTGCTCTTACATACTGAACTTCTTGGAAAATGAGCAATGAAAAATTGATCCTTTTCTTTTCTTATGTCTGGCAGTAGCTACAGAAGTAAAAAGAGGGGGTAGTTCTTTGTAAATCCAGTGTACCCAACCAAAACTGTACCTTTTAAAGCAGTTAACTCTGATGTGGCTATTGGTTAAAAAGCAGTTAAATTAAAATTATTTGAGTTTTACGCTATTACAAGTACTGTAAATTCTCAACAGTATGTATGCTGCATATTGAGGAGAGACTAGTTTGTGTGTTTTTTTTGTTTTGTTTTTTTTTTGCTGTAAAGAAAATAGTCTTAATCCCCACTGACACTGAGTCTTGCCTTTTTGTTGCTTTTTGTAAATTAAGCTTTCCCCATCACTGCGAAATCAAGTCTTGTTAACCAGAAGGTTTGTTGTTTTTATCTTCTTGGTAGAAGTTATTCAATTCTAGAGAAGATTTACAGTGGATGTGCAACAAACTATTACATTAAAGTGAAATTCCTAAATAGAAATCATTTTGATGTTTAACTGCAGATTATGGGAAAATGACTTTGCTAATTTGGTTTGAAAATTAAGATTAAATCTACAATCAAATTATTGGAGTTTGTTTTGATCACTTACCTCATACAAGGTGCTCTACAAAATATCTGTTCCTATCAGTTTCACAAATTTTGTTACCATGGAGATGAACCACAGATCCCCAGTTGTTGGAGGCGTAAGCTATTTGTGTTCATTCAGTAATCGACATCTGTAGGTGTCTGCTAGAGTGCGTCATACAAAGTTGGCGGCTTACTGGAGTGACACATATCTGAAGAATTTTTATTATTTGTATGGGGGATTTTGGTGTTTTAGTATAAGGGACCTGGGAACTTCATAAACTGTTAATTAATTATTTCATAGTCTAATATTTTTTGCTATTTAAAGACTTTAGTGTATTGCTCTGCCTTTTTATTTTTGGCCTCAATTGAATGAAGGTATGGACTGAGCTAATAGCACCACCTAAAGTTAAGATTTCCCAATTCTTCCCAGTATAAGTCCCTGTTTTCAGTTGTTTATAACTTTGCCAAACTTCAACCATTTAGGGTGAAATTTTCCATGCACTGAGTGAGGCAAGTGTACTGTGGAAAAAATACAACACCAAAATATATAACATATTTGGTCAGAGAAACATGAAGGCATTATTTAAAATCTAAGTGAAAAATAATTTTCTAGACTGCCTCAGAGGAGAAATAAGCACATCCAGAAACCACAAAATAATTTTATTGGCAAGTTTGTCAATGGCCTTTTAACTGTGGACTAGTAAGGAGATTTTGAATTTCCTTTGCATTTGGCAATTTGAGCTAGATGACAGTAGTGAACATATGAAGAAAGTAATGGACATGTGAATAGTTCCAAACTAAGCCATCCAAAAAACAAAAGAAAGAAAAGGAAAATCTTGAAACTAACAACGTTTGCTACTATCACATAGTTCACTCTGCTTATGTATTCTTCCTCTTCCCCCACCCTGTGTCTGTCTAGTCTATTTAGGGGCAGGGACCATCTACTATTCAGCGTTTGTACAGTGCCTAGTACTATAAGGCCCCATTCTTGGTTGGCCCTTAGGCACTACCACAGTGAACGTGATTAATAACTTCTGCTGCGTAATGTCAATGTTGGCAGCTAGAACAAGATTTGTCCTTTGGCTTGCTGATCTGTGGGTAGCATTTTTAGTTTTATTTATGTCTACTTTAAAAGCAGCTTGCCTTGCCTCTTCAGGGTTAGTAGAGAACAGAGTGTAGCATTAGGACATTGTTCCTTTGTCTCTTGTTCCTTTGTAGTACTGAACCAACTTTGCATGAAAAGTCTCTGGACAGACTTTTGTTTGTTTATAGGCCATTTCAGGTTATCTAAGGGCTAGTCTACACTGACAACGCTAAAGTGCTAAAAAACCCACCTTCACCCCGAGCCAGAAAGTTGCAGCGCTGTAAAGTGCCAGTGTAGACAAGCCCTTAGCTAGGATAGCACGGGTGTCCATCACAAGTCTCCATAACTGGTAATCTTATAGGCTGTCTTACCAGGGTAGTCAAGGACTGAATGGCTTATAGAAACCGAACTACTGTCACATATCTAGAGGTGGTCTTGTCGGATCAGAAATCAGACACACTGGTTGGGCAGCATGGGTGAAGCGTTCGTAGCCGCTGCACGTGCAGTGCACTCATTGGCACTTTACCAATTTGAGGGATAAGTATAGGATTTCCACCTCCAGGTATTGTCAGTTGAAGACCTTTCACCAGAACTAAAACTTATGTTGGAAATGTGTATACAAATACTCTTATTCCAGAAAGATTGCACATAATCTCTTAATGCAGAATTTTAATCACCTGTTAAAAGCTCTTGTCAGGCTTGATATTGCCTTTTTTGGTAATTAAAACCATTCATTTGCATTTCTAATGTGCTTCTCCTTAGAAAAGCAGTAAATGTGGAGAGTACATTAACCCTTTGGCTTCTGCACACCTGGCCTTGATTCTCTGCAAAGTCTTAGTGTCTCTATTCATACTGTACATGGTATGTCTTGTGACACTGGGTTGCATTTCCTTGGTGAGAGTGCCTCTTCACAGCAGCAGTTCCCAACCTTTTTGGCAATTCTAATGGACTTGTTTGTGCCAGCAACCTGTTGAAATCCTTTGCATCTTAACTAAGGATAAACACAAGTGCCTGTGGCATCAGAGTTCATTAACTCTGAGGGAGATGGAGAATGAGGAAAAGTGGGGCAAGAGAGGACCTCCATTTCTGAAATTCCACCATCCCACAACCAAGATAGCTGCTAGCTGCTTCTTCTGGCTACTTGGATGCTATATTAGATAAGAACCTAGAGGGAGAGAAACATTTACTTGGTTTAAATACAGTTTAGGAGTCTTCTGCCTGGTGGGGAGAGACTTCAGTAATAATGTAATTGCCTGGACTGACATGTCTCATCTTCTACGCCTTATATCAGATAGAAAGACTCATTTTCCTATTGCTTCATGTACTTGAAAAGTACCTCTTGTTATATACACAAGCTGAATACCACAAGTTAGGTCAAGAAATGTAGGAAAAACTTTTACAGTCTAAACAGTGTTTAAGAACATAGAATCCATTTATCCTAACTGCAACGTGACTAGGTCACAACACTCTAACTCTTAAAGTGCTTTTGGATCTTTAATGAGCCATTGATTGGTCATAACCTTACTTTTACATTTTATCCAAAAGACAGCATCTTTAGCAGAGGGGTGTCATTACACACCATCTTTTGGTTTTGGTTCCAAACTGTATCCGAAGGAAGGATGTCATCATCTGAACCACCACCACTTACTCAAGCACCCTGTGTGTATGGGACATCCTTTCAAACCCTGATGAGTCTTCTCAAAAACTAAGCTAGAATTCAGCATGGCGATGTACGGTTGCAGATTGTAATATCTTGATTGCTCAATACTGAGCTTTCACAAAACTTTCTAATATGTTTTGAAGAAAACTTGAGTGCTACAAAACATGCACTTGGCGCTCACTTTGAATTAAAAGTCAGATGATCTGTTTGATTCTTTGGCTTCCCAAGATGGCTGTTTGCTTCCTTCATGTTTTTTTCCCTCTCTCCCTAGTTTCTGCCACTGCCTTCTACAAAGCACAACCTGTAATTCAGTTCATGTGTGAAGTTCTCGACATTCATAACATTGATGAACAACCGAGACCTCTGACTGATTCTCATCGGGTAAAATTCACCAAAGAGATAAAGGGTGAGTAGAAAGTTCTCTAATCAGCATGGAACAGATTGTGTCTAATGTGCTCAGAAGGTTAGTTATAACAGACACATTAACTGAAAATCTCAGAATTAATATAACCTGGATCAAAAGTGAGTGTGTGCAAAATAATTGCAATATTTACTATCTTTAGATCTAAAATTACTACATGAGCTACATGGCTCTTTAAACTGTCTGCAAAGCCCAACAAAGATGAAATACTAGATAAACTCTGATATTTTAAAGGTCAAATAGTAAGACTGCTTATTATAATGAATGTACCAAAGCAATCACATTGCTGGATGGCTGACTCTTGTTTAGGAGATAATGTCAGTAGTACACACACTCCTGCTGCTATTTAAATGCTGAGGCAAAGCAAATATATTGGTTTTCAAAGCTGGAGTCATTGATTGTCTGCCAATGTTTTATTAGTATGACTTTATATCAATTGTGATATAACAGGGATAGCTCAGTGGTATTTGCCAACCGTAGGCGGGGGGACAGATTCCATCTTGAAGAATTGATTTAGTTGGTGGAAGTTTGGGTAGTTTCATTACATACACTACTTTGGTGTCTGCTTTCATGCTTCTTTGCACTCCAATGTATAGAGTAATTTGCAGCAGGGGTAAGACCTTGTTAGGAGGGTTTGAACAAAGTCCTTCCTGAAATTTTTTTCTGTCACTTGCTGCAAGAGTACATGCCATTTAACAACCAATCAGTTAAAAAAGGTAAGGTACAGCCAGTCAGACCCCTGTGTTTGTAAAATCAAGAAATTCTTTTAAAAACCGTACCTTTAATGGATAAATTATTTTGTAACTGGCTCAAACACAAATCTTTCTGTTTTTAAATCAGTCAGAATGCAGCATGTCTAACTGTACAGTGAGCAGCTGTCACTCTACTTCACCAACACATCTCAGTCATTGTAATAGAAATAGCCACTGTAAGAAAACACTGCAAGGTAAATTAACCTTGGTTGTTAATATTTATTTGTATTATAGTAGTACTTAAGGGCCCCAACTAAGATCAGAGCACTATTGTGCTAAGCACTGTGCATATATATATATATAGCAAGACAGTCCCTGCCCTGAAGAGCTTTCAGTCTAAATAGACAACAGAAGGTCCGAGGGGAAACAGTCTGAGAGGTGAAGAGACTTTTCCAGTGACAGAGTAGACCTCTGTGAATAGAACCCAGGTCTCTTGAATCCTAGTCCAATATCTTGTTTATTAGACCATATTGCTGCCTCATCCATTTCTCATGTCCCTAAAGGCAGAGAGAGTGCCTATCCTATGACACTGCCATCACAGTATCATTTTTATGTAAATATCCACTTTGTATTGTTATGAGGAATTAATAGAGTAGAGTTAACTTGGATTACCATATACTTACTAGAATTCCAATGGGATTTCTGTGAATTTACCAGCTGGATACCATGGAATAACATGGATTAATTCGTGCTAACTGTGCAATCAACTCCTATAGCTATGGTGCAAAAGAAGAAGGAAAGCATATAGAATCAGGGTTCTGCTCATGCTTAGAGCATGGACTAGATCTTAACTTCAGCTACTCAAGATTGTACAGAAAACTAATGACAAATCTCTAGAATTTAGAAATCTTGATGTTGCAATGAAAATAAAGCAAGTTAGTTAAAATACTGATTAAAGCTAATTGATATAAGTGGGAGAAATCACCTAGGAAAGTAATTTTTAAACTATCTTACTTATCCCCTTGGTACAGATATGGTTCCTCAGTCCTAGGGTGCATTGGAATTGGTCACCATGGGCAAAAAGGGCATTGCTGCCCTTTGAGAACCTGAACAGAAAACTATATTTTTGAATCCAGACTTCAGTCTCCATCAGGCTAGTCTCACTTATCTTAAAATTAGTGTAACAGCTTCACCTGGAATTATAAATTATTTTGAATTGCATGTATTGTAGCTAGGATTTATTTTTAAAAGAAACTCATGATTCTCCACTATTAGAAATATTTTAAAATAACTACCTCTTAAATGAAAGTCAGAAATCAAATAATGCATTAAATGCAGAACATGAGTTTCTAACACTGTGCCATAAGATCATTGTATCTATTTAACACTCAGAGTTCTTGACTGTTGTGTGTACTGTTATAAGAAACTTATGCAAACACTTAACATGTATATGTTGCATGACATTGTTTTTTCTTGTTGCTTTCATACAGGTCTGAAGGTTGAAGTGACTCACTGTGGAACAATGAGACGGAAATACCGTGTTTGTAATGTAACAAGGAGACCTGCCAGTCATCAAACGTAAGCAGACATTTGTCAGAGTGGAGAATGTGTAGCAGCTTGCCCTAACATCAAATACTTGGAGGGATGGACTGAGAGTTTATTAAAATCATTTTGGAGAATTCTGGTAGTTAAACTTTCAATGCTATTTTGACTAAAATTCTTGTGCTGTCTTTCCAGCTTCCCTTTACAGTTAGAAAACGGCCAGACAGTTGAGAGAACAGTAGCACAGTACTTCAGAGAGAAGTATAACCTCCAGCTGAAATATCCTCATCTTCCTTGTCTACAAGTGGGACAGGAGCAGAAACATACCTACCTGCCTCTAGAAGTAATGATTCTGATAAATTGGTGTTTTAGTCCAGTAGCATCTTTTTGCAGAGTGTTAATTTATTTCTCATGCAGTATAAGCAGTTTAGCATATTTATATATGTTGTTGTTCTTTTATTGTTACTGCTTTGGTTTTACTACAAATAGAGAGAAACTTTAAACCAGACAATCTTTTCCTTTTATTAGTATGGATACCAATCAAGTCACTATGAAATATAGATTTAAGTATCAGCTACATGTATATAGAAGATTTGCATGTAGTCACTGCATAATTCCCTGTGTAATATTAGGAGTGCTGCATCTGTAAAGACTGCAATTGTATCTACCAATTTGTGTTTTTTGTTTTTTGTTTTTTTAAGGTATGTAACATTGTGGCAGGCCAGCGATGTATCAAGAAGCTAACAGACAATCAGACATCAACTATGATAAAAGCAACAGCAAGATCTGCCCCAGATAGACAAGAGGAAATTAGCAGATTGGTTAGTTCATAACTTCTGTATCAGAGGATGAGCATGTTCATCTTCACTAAACTGCATTGCACTTGTGAAGACCATTCCATTTCTCTGTACCTGACCCGATCTGTGTCCTTTGCTACGAAAGCCTCTTACTTTATTCTCAGGTACCAAACAGGTTCTGGTGGCCACGTGGTATGTGAAGATTATGGAACAGGGAGGCTCCCATGACTCCTCTGATCCCTCCCATTAAATAGAATATCTAGGTCAAGCATTCAGGCTCACCTCCCTGTTCCATAATCTTCACATCCCACGTGGCCACCAGAACCTGTCTGGTACCTCCCCTCCAGCATTTGGAACCCTCCTTGATTTTATTAATAAAAGTTATTTAATTCGAGATCTCTAATTAAAGGATTAGAGGTGTGGTCTGAGCCCAGGACTGAAATGTTAGGGACTCCTGTGTTCTAATCATGGACCTTACACTGGCTACTTTGTACCTGATTCAGCTGAAAAATGAGTTCTTAACTGCCTTACAGGGATGTTCTGACAATTAATGTATGTAAATTACCTACCTACCTACCTCCGGTGCTTATCTGCCCCCTCCCATTCCTATATTATCTGAACACCTCACAATCTTTAATCTTTTGATATACTCTGAACACTGCTGTGAGGTAGAGAAGTACTATTATATCCCTATTTTACAGATGGAGGGAGCTAATGTACGGAGACTAAGTGACTTGCCTAAGGTTCTACAGGAAGCCTGTGGCAAACAGGAAGTTGAAACTGTTTCCCATGTCCCAGGCAAGCACTCTAACCAATGGGCAATATTCGTCCTCAATATATGCTAAATAGCACCACTTGACAGTCCTGTTTTTTCTCTTTCTGCCTGACCAAACCAGCCTTTCTAAAACACGTTAACATTTTCCTAACTTGGAACTGTTGGAAATATCTCGTTTTATTTGAATAACATCACAAAAAATTAAAGGATAACTTCTATTTGAAAAAGGTGCTTTTGAGCTGACAACTGAGAATTTGTGTTTGATAGGAATAAGGCTCTTCTGAAAGATGCTGAAAAGGCTAATTCACGATCTTCTCTTGAGTGCTGCTAATATTCAAAGGGAACTGAAAACAGTTGGATTTTCATAACCTAGTTTGTCCTTCACACTGAGGGCAGCAAAAAATTTGCTTTGATGAATGCCCTGAATATGCATATTGTGGGATGTCTAAACATCAAGTGGCCATTTTCACACTGACTTAGTAATATAATAGTAAAATTGAATTTTAGGTAGCTTTTTGAAATAGTATTAAAATTCCGTGTTATACCTGCAAGCAATATACAGAATAGAGATTAATTTTATAATTAATTGGTACTTCTGTACTTTAGCAAGATAACTAGATTTACCTAAAATTTGTTTTGAAGCAGCATTGTCATGCATGCTAGATATTCTTTAATACAATACACTTTTTATGCAAAATATTTGCAGCAGCAAAAATTGAATAAATTGATGTTTGGGTAACATAAGGGAATACGAGTAAGATCTCGTGTCATGGGGCAAGTGGTTTGAATGAGAGTTTTGGTTAATGGCTGGGTAAATGAAGTTGGACAGTTCTATATGATCTTTAGTTTTTGCTGTTAGTGAAAAGGAGGACACTTATGCAGCTCTGTTATTAGTTGTCTTATTTGTAGATGCAGATTAAAAATTGCAGAGTTTTTGTAACATGGAAACTTCTCCTTTCCCCAGGTAAGAAGTGCAAATTATGATGCAGATCCATTTGTTCAAGAGTTTCAGTTTAAAGTTCGGGATGAGATGGCCCATGTGACTGGGCGTGTGCTTCCAGCTCCAATGTTGCAGTATGGAGGACGGGTGAGAATTTTGTTGTTTTTCCTTTTTTTGTATCTTGCTGTACAATAAACCACAGATGATTCTCCATGTAAAACTGAAAACGTTGGGACAGCTCAGTTCCCTTGTAGTATTGCAGCAGCTCAGAATTTGAGCCACAAGCCTTGCGATTGTGAGGGGTGTTTTCCTAAAATAGAAAATGGTGGGTTTTTTCTCTCACTGTTCCAATCAGTTGAATATCAGCGTATTTCTTCTATCTCCGTAGAATCGAACAGTGGCAACCCCAAGCCATGGCGTATGGGATATGCGAGGGAAACAGTTTCACACTGGTGTTGAGATCAAAATGTGGGCCATAGCTTGCTTTGCAACGCAGAGACAATGCAGAGAAGAAATACTGAAGTAAGGCATGTCTTAGTTCAGGCATTGTACCATTCTTTCAGTGAACCCATCAGCTTCAAAATTCTAAGATGGCACTTGCTACATATCCAGTGCCCATTCTAGCCTAGTGTTCAGGCTGGGGTAGGCGTTTGATTTGGAACGCAAAACTACTTCTTTACTTCTGTGCTGGAGCTTGGAAAATCTGCCATCTTTGCAGCTGAAAGTGTACATCGATACTATGTGTTAAGTGTTTCTCCTTCTCAGGTGTTGCTACAATGGGGCATGCTACTTAGTGCGTTTGTCCTAAAGCCCTATAAAGTCTGCCCTCCCTAACCTTTCATAATGGTATTTTAAGACTGTCACCATCCTTATAATCAGAGTACAGTGGATGCTGTTGTTGAAGTTCAGTAAACTCCATTCTGTTTCACTAGGGGTTTTACAGATCAGCTGCGCAAGATTTCGAAGGATGCAGGGATGCCCATCCAAGGCCAGCCATGTTTTTGCAAATACGCACAGGGTGCGGACAGCGTGGAGCCGATGTTCCGACACCTTAAAAACACCTATTCAGGACTCCAGCTCATCATTGTCATCCTGCCAGGGAAAACACCTGTGTATGGTAAGGGAATAACATAAGGGGAGGGTATATGGTTTGGCTCAAGTGTGCTAGCTGGTGTACTTGCTCCTCAGCTTGTAAGATGCTAAATTCTAGATGATTGTCCTTTAGTCATCCGAAACCAGATGCTTTATCCTAGGCTAAAGTGAATTGGGAGGCAGGTCAAAGCAAGCATTTGAATTGGTGGTTGATAGGGCAGAATGTAAATATAACTAATAGTGGCTTTGAGTGTGTTCTGTTCTCTGCCTGAATTTCAAACAGGCTTAAAAATCTTAATACATTTAAAAAAATTTAAATTAATGCTTGCTTCTCAGCCGAGGTGAAACGTGTGGGAGATACGCTGTTGGGGATGGCCACGCAGTGCGTTCAAGTCAAGAATGTCATAAAAACATCTCCTCAGACTCTCTCAAACCTGTGCCTAAAGATTAATGTTAAATTAGGAGGAATCAACAACATTCTTGTACCTCATCAACGGTAAGAATCTCTAATGGGGGCCACTTTGGGATTTATTCTTGTGTCTATTTTCAGTTTGATATTTAACCTCCAAAATTACCCTTTGGAAAGGGGGTTAAGTGCAAAATGGTATGTTGTTTGTGAACCAAAGATGCTGCTCTTGGCATTGCAACATTGCATCTCACAACACATCCTGGTTCAGCAGTGACCTCCAGGATACTTCCTACCTGATCTGGTAAGTGGAGACTTGGGTCATATTGAAGCTCTCCCCAATAGGTGTCAAAAAGGCTGTTTAGTCTCTGAATCAGAAGGTTGTAAATCAAATCCCCCTTTGAGATGTTGGGCCACTACCCAGTACTTGAGAAATGAATGAGAGGAGATCCTGGCGTTCTAGAGGTATTGTCTTTGAATGGAAGTATTAAGTTAAGATTCCATCTGTAGAGGCTGTCTGGGTAGAAGTGTAGGATACCACAGCATTCTTCAGAGAAGATCACAGTGCTCAGCCAACTGACAAATTCTGCTGTCCTGTGTGCTGTTAACAGTGGTAGATCATGTACTCTGGGTCTTTCACCTCTGCTGTTGCATAAGTCCTCTAGATCATCCTCCTGCTAGTGTATGATGGTTCTGTATGCTGTATTCAAATGCTTTGTCCCAGTCCATTTTAAATGTTTCAAGTGACAAGGCTTCTACTACCTTGCTTATGAGGCCTTTGTTCTAATAGATCTCACTGATTAGAAGCTTCCCCTGATAATGGCTCACTGGCCAGGGTCATTGTACTACTAGTCTAGTCTATATGCATTTCCACTGTCTTAGAACAAACAGTCCATTGAGAGCAGAGACCTTAGTATCCACCCTGGAGACTGGGCATTTGGCCATCTTAGCTCCAAGTGTCACTGGAACAGATTTATTCTTGGAAAAAGTGGAGTATGCAGAAGGTAATGTGGTGGCCCAGAATAACCTCTTGGAAGTTCTCTCTGGAGACTGTTTCTGAAAGCTCTGTGCCCAGGTATCGGTAGCCGAAGTGACACATGAAGCACCTAATCCATTCTCTAGTCCATGAGAATGGATTGCAAGCTTTAACATATCTCCTTGCTACTCATGCCACATCACCCAGAACAGTGTGTGTACTCTAGCTACGTTTTTTGCCATTGTACTGCGTACATTGTACAGTGCCTAGCACAATGGAGCTCCATTCTTGATTGTTCTCTAGGTACTACCCTAATCAGCGTGATTGATAACAATCATGATATGTCTTCGTAGGGAATTATTTTTAATGCTGGGTCATAGTTTTTAAACTAATTTCTGTAATAGCATTGTATTAGCAGTAAACAGTGATGTATTTTGGAATGACTATTAGAGTGTTAAGGAAAAGTTCACAACAATATGCCTGACACTGATTGCGTTGGCTAAACATGGTCTTCTGAATGTCTGATAGAAATGTCGTCTTCTTCCCTACCCACACTCAAGTTTAAGAAACAAAATTCAGGATTGAGAAGTGTAATTGTAGGTGAATGGTTGGTGCTAGGTTGACTTGTCGCTTTTTTTTTTTTTTTAAAGACCTTCTGTGTTCCAACAACCAGTGATCTTCTTGGGAGCAGATGTCACTCATCCGCCTGCTGGGGATGGAAAGAAGCCTTCCATTGCTGCTGTAAGTCCTATAAAATTGGCTTAGTTGTTTTCATATGTTATGAAAAGGAGAGAATAGAAAATGCAGCTACATTTATGAGAGGACTGAAACGTCATAAATTAATTCATTGACTTTTGATGTGGCTTTCATTTTCCCCTGCATATTCCAGTTCTCTGCATACAGAAATCAGACAGCTTCTTGAAAACAAAAGTACTGCTTAAAATTTCTGATTAATGCTTTTTAGTGTTCTAATATACTTAGTGAAGATGACGTTACGTCAGTGGTGCTACTAAATAATAGTTCTTTGAGAGAACATAACTGAATTGTAAGTGCTCTAAATTCCCAAAGAAACCATGCACCTCTAATAGTTAAACTAACAAAATGCTGCTGTGTTTCTATTTAAACAAAGATGACTTTAAGAGACTGGTGTTGGCAGGAAGATCTTCAATAATTTTCTCCTTTTCAGCCTGGGAAGGACAAGCGGGCTGTAAGGTGAGATCTTTAGACACTTGGGTACTCATGCTGCTCTTTGCTACATTATCTGCTATATTTCCCAGAATGGAAGGGGGAATATTCAGAGTTCCTAATGAAGAGGCAATTAACCAGGAGGAGTTTTTGCTTGAATGACTAAAGTGGGGGTAGAAGAGGAAATATTGCACTGCCAACGAAAGAGGAGGAATAATTCCAAGGCAGATATAAAATAGGGGTTTTTGTGGAGGGCTGGTAAAAGGCAAGTTTCAAACACTTTCCTGTAAGAGATTTAAGATTTCTAAACCCACATCTTACAATAAGTTCTGTGCCTTATGCTTAAATGATCTGATTATTCTCTATTCTCTTCTTAAAATAAACCTTTAAATTTAAAACCTCTTCCCTTTTCCCTGGTAAAATACTTTGTATCAATTCCACATGGATCTTTTACATTCTCATTTTCCCCCCATAGGTTGTAGGTAGTATGGATGCTCATCCAAGCAGGTATTGTGCCACAGTGAGAGTTCAAAGGCCTCGGCAGGAGATTATCCAAGATTTGGCCTCCATGGTAAGAGAACTTCTCATCCAGTTCTACAAGTCAACACGATTCAAACCCACACGTATCATCTTCTACAGGGATGGGGTTTCTGAAGGACAGTTTCGACAGGTTCGTTACACTTGAATTTTTTACTGTGGCAAGATTTGAATTGAGAAATGTTATTGTTCCATTTTTCACACTTGCATCTGAGTTAAGATGTAGCACCATAGTGTATTGGCTACACTTCTTATGGAAGTGTGAAATCTCAACTAGGGAATCCCATTAGGTGGAAACTGCTTGGAGTTCTTCAGATTGTGGGCTGAGGAAAGTAATGATATATTATATCAAATGGATGAAAAATGTGTTTCCTGGTTGAGAAGCTGATCATTTATAGCCATAGATGAGTATAGACTTCCTACAAATTACTAATATTGCATAACAGACATGAAACAAGTGTTAAGTAGAGAGTGCTATTTACTAGACACTATGTGCAGAGTACAATGTAAGAGTAAATTAATCTATTGTTTCTGTACTGTAGGTGTTGTATTATGAGCTGCTAGCAATTAGAGAGGCCTGCATCAGTCTGGAGAAAGATTACCAGCCAGGAATAACCTACATCGTAGTACAGAAACGACACCACACACGATTGTTCTGTGCGGACAGAACTGAAAGGGTAATTCCAGTGTAGTTATGTATGTGAAAAGGTTAATAAAGAAAAGATTGTGCTAGTATTTTTGCTAACTGTATAAATGTACAAATTCTACAAAATCCACTTGATGTATTCCTCACATTCAGAGGAGATGCTCAAGATTGACAGGTGCAAAAAATTGATCCCCAACTTATTTTGTCTTTGAAGATCTTATTTTATTTTATTTTATTCTAAATTCAGTTGTAAAACTTCAGCTGATGACCGTGGGCAGTTCTTGTAGAATTACAGATGTTAATGTGACATTTAGAAGAAATTAAATATCTTGAAATACTATTTGATACAGGCTCTACAAAAATGTTAAATACAAGAGAATGTGAAACCACAAAGGACTTTATTTCAGTCAAGTTTACGTGTTTTCTGAGTGATCTAATGCAGACTGGGTGGGTACACAAACCAAAATATACATAGTTAAATCTTTAACTACTTCCCCCTTCTGAAGGCAGGTGGAACTGAAAGTGCTGTTGATGCACCATGCTTAACTTTAGAGCGAAGAGGGGAGGGCTTTGTCCAAAGCAAACATCACAGGTCATTACATTTGCTTATTCCAAAGGGAGGGGTTAAGGTGAGGGCTCCATTCACTGAATGCTGTATACTCGAAATAGAATGTTGTGTGTTAAAGTTACGATTGGATGGCATAAGTACATCATAATTTTTTATTGCTTTATTTTCTAAAAAATTGACTAGCTAATATTGCTTTCATCAAAACCCCTCTGTAGGTTGGAAGAAGTGGCAACATTCCAGCTGGAACAACTGTAGATACAGATATTACACACCCATACGAGTTTGATTTTTACCTCTGTAGCCATGCTGGAATACAGGTAAGATACCTTCCTTTATAAACTAATACATATGGCGACAGCAAGTATTCTTTCCCTTTTTTGAAAATATGCGCGCGCACACACGCACACACACCTGTGTGTTAGACAAACATCTTCTTGTTCTATTTCCTTAAGAGCTGTGAAACCTGTCTCTGGGACCAGCACTACCAATGATTTACTTAACTGAGCTGTTAGGTACCTTTTATTTCCATAATCTGTTCTGATGTGAGGTCGGTTTATTTGAAGAGAAGTAATGAACCCTCCTCATATAAATTAGGAAAATAGAACACTGTTAAACATCTGTTTAGTTGTAATGAAATGAACATTGTTTACGTTTGAAAACTTGAATCAAGTTTTCAGATTGAAAGCAGCCTTGAAAATTAGTTGACTTAAGCCTAGACTGATGGTAAACTATAGGATAATGAAATTGAATCTAGCAGTTTGGTGGTATTGCCAGCAGTGCAATGGCAATCCAACTTAATGAGGAAAATTGCATCAAAATATTGAGTTCAGAAGAATGGAAAAAGTTAAACTCTTCAAAGTTTTAAGTTCTGTTCTTTATGAAATCTTTGACCAAATTGCAGGGAATTTTGGTGGAGTGCAGCAAGTATATTCTGGGTTTCTTTGGTTTGAATCACTGATTGCTCTAAACAAAGATAGGTACACCTCTACCCCGATATAACGCGACCCGATATAACACGAATTTGGATATAACGTGGTAAAGCAGCGCTCCGGGTGGGCGGGGCTGCACACTCCGGCGGATCAAAGCAAGTTCGATATAACGCGGTTTCACCTATAACGCAGTAAGATTTTTTGGCTCCTGAGGACAGCGTTATATCGGGGTAGAGGTATACTAGGATTGCCCTTCTCCCACCCTCCGGGATTTCACCCATCCTCCATGAGTTCTCAAAAATAATTGTTAATGGTTTCCAAGATTACTTCTGCTAGTACCTTTAGTACCCTAGGATGAATTTAATCAGACCCTGCCTGATAAATTTAGTTTACCCAAAGGAAGTAGGAGGCTGAGTTAATCATGGTTTATAAGTACTGTACCTACATGAGGAGGAGATTTCTGGTAGTGGTGGAGGAGCTGATAAATTTAGCAGCAACATAATAAGATCAAATGGCTTGGAGCTGAAGCTAGATAAATTCAAACTAGAAATAAGGTGCATATTTTTAAGTGGTAGTAACTAACAATTGGAACAATTTACCTAATGTGGTATGCATTCTGTCACTTGAAGTATTTAAGAGATCCTGTTGTTCAACCAGAAGTTATGGGCTAGATGTAGGAATTGCTAGGTGAAATTCTCTGGCTTGTATTATGCAGGAGGTTAGACTGGATAATCATAATAATTCCTCCTGGCCTTAAAGTCTGACTTGATACATATATGAGAGCCAGACAAGTGAACTGATATTCCCTTCTCCATAGGGTACCAGCCGTCCCTCACACTATCATGTTTTGTGGGATGATAACTGTTTTACTGCAGATGAACTTCAGCTGCTGACTTACCAGCTATGCCACACATATGTGCGTTGCACACGATCTGTTTCTATACCTGCACCAGCGTATTATGCTCACCTGGTAGCATTCAGAGCACGATACCATCTTGTGGACAAAGAACATGACAGGTAAATGAAAACACAGGTGTTTATATTTATATCCCCTTTCAGCCCTCAGCCCAAAACCCTTTCCATATTGTCAGGCTTTAGACTATCTGACTAGATCAGCAGTTCCCAAACATTTTCGTTGCATGACCTCATTTTCACATGTACTGCTTCCTGCAATCCCAGACAGCCTGGAGGATGCTGATTAAAAAAGGCATCATCCATGCAGCGTGGCCTCACACACGCCATTTGTGCAAGGTCATGCTGCATGGAGGACGCTATTTTGCTTTACAAAATGGCATTCTCTGCACAATGTGACCTTGCACACACATGGCGTGAGATCACGCTGCATGGACGGGGGTGCTGTTTTTGTAGAGCAAAATAGCATCCTCCGTGCAGCATGACATCGCATGTGCAATGCATGTGAGGTCATGTTGTGCAAAAGATGGCATCCTCCGCACGCCCAGGATTGCCACAACCCCATCTGTTGATGGTGGAGTGACCCCACTTGGGAACCACTGCTGTAGATGATACACACTGAGCAGTAGCTTAATTTATCACCTGTGGGACTGGTCTTCAAACACATTTCCTTACTACTACCACTATACATAAGCGTGTAGTGTGGTGTTCGCTTTCTATTATATAAAGAATTTAAAGTTTAAGAGTTTTTTAAAAAAGTTTTTGTTTAATTAACGTTGCATGGAGATGGGCCAAAAAACTCATGTGCATTAAAGTTCTAATCCTGAAACCAGAAATACTGCTGTGAATGCGGTGAGTGGTAATAATGCTTTGCACTTGTCTGAAACCTTAAAATGAAAGGAATTAAAGTGCTTTACAAACATTAAGCCTCAAAAGCACCAGGCAGGGTAAGAAGTAGTATACTTATTTTATGGATGGGCTATCTGAGCTGAAGGGACTTTCCAAAAGCCATGAAGTTGCTGAGAAAGCTGAGTAGAACCCCGGAGCTCTCACTGTATTTTGCTCTAAAAAATTGTCACATTCCCTTCTCGAGTGTTGAAATAATGCAGTGCTGGTAAATGATGGCAATTCAAATTGAAAGGGTTTCTGCTAGTTTTAATATTTCTCGCTTTGTCTTGCAGTGCTGAAGGAAGCCATGTTTCAGGACAAAGCAATGGGAGAGACCCACAGGCCCTTGCTAAGGCTGTACAGATTCACCAAGACACCTTACGCACCATGTACTTCGCTTAAATAAATCAATAAAATCGGAGCATACTCACTGAAAGGAAGAACTGAAAAATTAAGCCACATACAATGTATGTTTCCGGTGGGGTCAGTTTATGGGGTGCGCCTCCGATCACGCTGAAGCCGACACTGTGCAGGGGCAAGGGGCTAATCCTTAAATTGACACGTGGAGGATTGTTTACTTCATCGAGGAACACAGCACTATTATGCAATATGAAACCAGCCAACTGCTTTTTTGGGGCGGTCTTCTGTAGGAAGTGCCGTCGTCATCAGTTTTTTTTTAATTTCTTGTAGTCTAACCCTTTTATGCCTTTACCTCAAGTTGCTCGGCAGCACAACTATCTTTGCAAAAAAAAGTTAATGATGTAGTTTAAAAAAACCACAAACAACCTATAGAACAATCACCATGATTGTTGAGGGGGGAAGTGTGCAAAAAATAGCCTTTTTGTCTTTACCCCAACTCATTGAGGAGGCTTTCTCTCAATATTGCCATCAGCATTTGAATGGGAACATATCCAAGTACATTTCAATGTACAGCACTAACTAGAAAAAATTAGGGGAAGGGTTTTGCACACATTAGTCCATTAATCTGAACATAATTTAGCCAACTGCTGCCTTTGTGTCTTTCTTCACGGTTTGGAGTCCTCAACTCCAGTAGTTCCCTTTAAAAAAGCTAGTGGTGTCTGTGCAGCAGTAGTGATCCAAACTCTTCTTGCTCCCTGGTGAGTTTACTAAAGCTGCTGTTTTACCTTGTCCAGAAGTTTCAACTAAATCTCTATCTGGCAAGTCGTAAATATATTTTGAGCTTCATGCAAGATCAGATGTTCCTTGTTTTATGGGGTTACATGTAGTAAACACCAGAAACGAAACTTTAGAGTTGAGGTCTTTATTTGCTAGTTTACTTGCTGCCTCTCACACCTTAATGTGATTTCATATATATGTGTGTTTTTGAAGTTTAGCTTTTTCTTTTATATTTATTAGAATAATAATAATAATGCTTTAATTTAATTATTACAGAACATATGGGCAACATCAATTTTTATTTTTAGAAATGTAACCATGTTTATTTTAAAAAACAAACTGACAACTTGTTTTTGCTATCTTTTAGTGCAATAAGCCGTTCTAAAGGAAAAGTGTGTCCGTTTAGCTGTATTAAAGCGGCGTTTGTACCACTAACTGTGGGAGAATGGACACCTCCACAATTTTAAAAGGACAAAGTAAAAGCCTTAATTTCAAAAGGAAAGTTTTGTAGTCATCAGGAGTCATGCATGTTCCTTTTCTAAATCAAACCAGCTAAGAATAGCAAAACCTATGCTTCTAGGATTCTGCAAGCTTTAATATTGGCAATCAATGCAGTATTTTGATTTAACAAAGGAATTGTGTACATTTTGGGGTTTAAGAGACTGAAGTTATTTGAACTCAAGTGAAGACTTTTCATTGAAGATCCAGGTTTTCAGATGCTGTCTTAATGTCACTGACATTAATCATAAAAATGTCTTAAGAAGTTAATGAAGTTCTTAAGCATTTTTGCTTATTTCATTATAAGTGGCTTTCCTTTTAAAATTAAGGTGTTGGTGGCTTCATTTCACTTTACAAATAAATTAAGAGGGCTGGGATAATTTTAACAAGTTAAATCACTGAAATGTGAAACAAAACATTAATGGGACTTTTGTTCATTCCACTTTAAAGTTAAAACAAGTATTTTAAAGATGATAGAGATGAGCATGTATTCAGTACATCTGGGCATCGGGGAGTTTTGCACTTTGTAACCTCGTGAACTGCATTTTTGACTGTTTTATTTGCACTGGTTCATAGTATATATGCATATATATATATACTGCAGATTGTTTATATGGGCATTGCTGTTATCCCAGCCCTTCTGAACTCCACCTGCTCTTCACACGAAAACCAATGGATTGGTTTAAGTATCTCATTTGTTTCTTGTCATTCTCATGTAATCCACTATATTTGCCAATTTACTGTATTTTGAGCCTAAAATCTGAGCCCGTTTTGCTTCAACAGGCATGCATTTCCCCCATTTCTGCCAGAAAACTAAGTACTGTATTTTGTGCATTTGTACATTGTATTGAAATGTATGTAGTGCTGTTCACAACACTGTCTCAAAGCGCTTTACTAAATAGTTGGTGTATATACATATATATTTTTCTCCCAATATCAAGAAACATAATGCAAAGAAACTATTTTTTTGCAGAGTTAAAATTGCACTGGAAAGTCATGCTGGTAGGCAGTGTTCCTAGTGGCTCAGGAGAAAAGGGGACTATTCTAACAGATCTCTGTGTAGCCAACCAGCTCTTAGGAGTCTCTCTCATTGTTAGTGGGATTATATTCATTCATCAGTGGGACTGCAGATTCCTAACTGAAGTGTCCCAGTGTTCTCTGGCTGCTTCATGCACTTATCTTTCAGCTCCTTTGAATAAAACTGCTGCAGGGAGGCCAATATAATGAAATGATTGGAGCAAGATTGTTTCCAAACAAATCTCTCTCTCTTTTATTCTGTAACTTGTCAGTTTCCTCTTAGAAGAGCTCTAGCTAGTATACCCATTTATAAAAGGCCCAGGTTAGGCTTTTTACATAAGATTAATTTTTTTAAAATTGAAGGGGCTTTTTTAGAAAAACCTGCTTTACAAGGACTTTTTGTGAACTGGCATTTTGATGAAAAGCCCTTTTTTTAAAAAAAAGATATGGCCTTTAACTCTTCTTTTAAAGACACTATACAGTTTCCAGTCTGATTTGAAAGTTTGACATTACTTTGCTTGCTGCTTTCACCAAAAACTTAAAAAATATATATATAAAAAAATCCATTGGGGAAATGACTTCAAAAATGTTTGCTTAGCAGGCCAGTGTAACTGGTTTTCATGTGAAGAGAAGTTGGGAGTTTTAATCTCTATATTCTTAGTTTTGCAAATGTCTACAAAAGTGCCGATACGTATATTTGTATTATAATATCAAGTTACTGGCGTTGTGAGGGCCACACGTTTATGATACTGTAGCTGCTATATTTATTTAAATGGAGACGGACAATTACTGCACTAGGAAATGAGGAGATGAGCAGGAACCAAGGCTTAGAGTTAGATGCGGTATCTCGTTTTTCAGAAGAAAATTAACAGTGTGAAATATCAAGTGTAACAAAGGGTGCTGTCATTTTAATTGAGATTAAATAGCCAGATATTCTTCCTTTGTCTAAAGACTTATATATATTTTGATGTTTGCAGTTTAGGGGGTGGGGGGATAAATGGTACCTCATCTGTGGTGGCAATTTCCAGTATATTTTCACAGGAGTATATGGATTTTTTATTTTTGTACCTGCTCTCCTTTAAAGAAAAGTTTTCTCAAGTTTTATGTGCTTTTTAGAGAAATCTCGAGTGCAACACGCATTATCCCTTTATCTTTCCAGGAGCACTCTGTATATAGCCCAAACAGGGATATGGGCAAAGGCTGACAGTTCCATTTTGCGGAAACATTGGCCTCATTTGTGCATACATCTGTCTAAAACAGTTGTTCCCAATCTTCTGAGACACTGTACCAGTTTACCAAACTAAGACCTTACCTTGTACTAACAAGTGCCACTAACCTCCCAAACAATGGGGGCATACACTTGGGCACCCAGCACAAAATTTGGGGTGGGCAACCAAGGATACTAGCTACACACACCTGAAATAACAATACTGGTACATGTACCAATGTTTAGGAACCACTCTCCTAGAAATGGCAGTGCTTCTCTGAAGCTTAACAGAAGGGTTTTTGATAATGGCAGTTACTTTAAATATGTGATCTAGTGATTAGTGGGTCCAACGTTGGAAAGAAAGGTTGAGAATTTTTAGTAGTTTGAATCGTTAAACTCTTGCAGCATCTGCTAACAGCACAACTGACAACTCCACTCAAACAAAGCAGCTTTGATTTGTGGGGCACTTCCACTGTGGCCATTTTACTCAGGATTGTTAGATGGCTGTCAAATGTTAAACCATTTAGTTGAAATTATGCAAAGGTTATTTTCCCTAGGATTCATTTTGGGATGCTTTTCGAAGGTAGTTTAGCCCTTGTAACAGCTTTCAAGTTGAAATGGATTCCTGAAGGTTGTCAGTCAAATTCTTTCAAGATGCCATTGGTCCTAAATTGTTTCCATGTCTTCTTTTTGTGCAGATACTTGTCTGATCAATGTTTAGGCACAGGATGTTAGATGAATAATCACGCTCTATACACATCCTAGCTGCTTGCTTGTTTTCTACTAGTGCTCAATAGTGTGAAATTTCCAAGCTTCAATTTCAAAAGGATGAGGCCTTTCTGGATTTACATTTTACTCGTACCTTGAGACTTGTCCGCCTTTGATATGTTCTCAGTTTTGTCAGCTGATGGGATATAACCTTTCTCAAAGCACTTTTCGTAACCGAGGAATCAAAGAAGCTCTGATTATATACATTGAAACCCTAACTTTTCATTTCCAATCAGTCGTCTTGAAGTTTCTTTTCATGCCAGACAAATGCTCCGTCAGCTGCAGTTTTGTGGAGTAGACGTGGCTGCCACTGGCCAGTTAATTTTATCAGATAGAAAATCCATGTAGATGTCAAAGGGACAAATATTCCTGGCTTACTTTCCTACCCAAAGATAGTACTTGAATTTGACATTGTGTATGAGATATCATTTGTGTTTTGGCACATCTTTTAATTATAAAAACTTCACTTAGCCAATTCACTCAGATATATATTATTTTTGTAAAAATGAAAAAGATTATTAAGGTTAAGGTGAGCGCTAATCTCAGTGTTTTCTGCTAGTAGAAAATCTTCGTAACTTTACAATAGTTGTGAGGTGTGAATCTGATGTGTACAGGACCCTATGTTTTATCTATCTAGCAGAGTCCCAAGAATACAATCACTAAAACACTGAGGTTTAAAATTAGTTTGTGGCCTGAGCAGCCAAAGGCACCCATGGGAAGCAGTGGGGGTGGAGGGTAGGTGAAGGTTTGCAAAGAAGCAAACCAATGTAGCATCACTGTTACAGAAATGAGGGAGTTGGTGGAGAGACTCCATACCAATCACCTTTCCAGCCATGTGCCCCTGACTGTTAGAATTCTGTCTGAGATCCCCTCATCCTAACATGGGTAGTTCATTGTAGTGTCCTGTTAAAGCAAAGCAGTTCCACTGTTAAAACTTGGAGCAATTTTTAATTTTTTTTTAAAGCTAGACAGTCCTCAGAAAGTGCCTTTTCAGAAGATG